CACTTACTGATTTGATTGCTGTGACGTATTGATTTATCGATGTTTTTTTTTTACCGCTGTATTGATTATTGATTATTGATTTCTGTACTGCATTGGCTACTGATTTGATTTCCGCTGTGCAGACTTGATTTCATTGACTGGATTTTCGTATTGCATAGACTCATTGACCATTGATTGACTTGATTTACTTTGACCTGCATATTGATAGCATCGTCGTGCTTTGATTTCAGTTGTAGGCTTTGGTGACCTGCTGGGCTTTGTAAGCTCATTATATGTGGTTTAAATTTTCAGGTCCGAGCAAGGCAACTGGAATGAAGTTCGATCAGAATGTCAGACGAATCCTTTCACTATTTGATTCTGGGGCATCACATAAAGTCCGGCAGTGGTCTCCATAAAGGTGGTGGTTTGATGATGATCGGGCTAAAGTCCTGCAACTGTCGAAGACCGGGTAGAAGTTCGACGGTGATCGACGACCAAGCGGTGGTCCGATGACAATTGATTGGTGTTCGTCGACGGTGGTGCTGAAGCTGTTGAAGCCTTATAGCTTTCTTCAATCTCTAGCCTAGCAGGTCCTCTCCATGTAGAGAGTGGATGTCAATTTATAGATTTTCATGAGTGGCACACCCAGTAAATATAGAGAAGATCCGAGTCAGGTTCGGAGTGCTCCATCGGATGACATGTATTGATTCCTCTGATCATAGAGAGTTTTTCAACTATTTAAGTGCATCAACGATGTCAGAATTCAACAATCTTAGACTCGTTGGATTCATCTCACCAAACTGCTTGATTTGACTATAAGCATGTCATATTTGAATATCATTTTATCATCTAATTAATATTTTGACCCTTACAAATGTGGTATGGGCCCTTAATTTGGACCCATTTGGGCTTGGGTTGAACCGATTTTGGTGTCCTTAGGTTCGTCCCTTTGAGATATTCAATTTGAATATAAGTTTGCTAAAATTGAAATTCATATGATCCCAAATTTAATTTTGAAAGTTTTTAATTTGAACATGACTTGAGATTCGTGCTCGATCAAAATAATTTTTGAAAACGTATAAGAATCCAAATGATTCTCTATATTCAATCTCCTCACTAGAGATCTATAATTCTGATCAACCAAACTAAGGTCAGCGTCAATAGCCATAAGCCAGCTGGTTTTTTTTTTTTTGGTGGTCAGATCGCATCTCCATTGGTAAATTATATTCCATTCATCCAGGACATGGAAAAGATCCCCTGACCAACCCATTACTTCAAACAGAAAAAACAACCAATAAAATTACTTCCCTCTCAGTGGACCCCACCACCACCGCCCAGTAATTCACCCGACAAATCCCCTTCATCCATACCGACACGGCAAGTGTACCTCCACTCCGAATCAAATCCCAGGAAGCTTTCCAAAAGCCAGCGCCGGGCGGCGGCTCTGCGGGCCCCGCCGCCGTCCAACTCGAAGCCGCATTTCGGCCTCCGAAATTCCTCGGCTGGCCGAAATGTCGGTCCCATTACATCACCACCTCCGCTTTCCAACTCTTCCGTTGCCATTCACATTCCTTTTCCTCTCCCTCCTTTCCCTTCTCCATCTCGCCATCGGCTCATCCGGAAGAAACACTCTCTCCAAAAAGGCATTGCGCTCTTCAATTCTGCATCGGCGATGCTAAATTGATCGATGGTGAGTAATCGATCGTCAGCAAACTCATCTCTGCAGCTGTTCTGATCATCTTTTTGCATCAGGGAACTCCGGTGAACATTGTGGTCGGTTCGCACGTGTGGGTGGAGAACGCAGAGATCGCGTGGATCGATGGAGAGGTTACAGAGATCAAAGGCAGCGATGCCACCATCGTTATGACGGATGGAAAAACAGTAAGTTCAGAGCTTGCCGGATTAATACATTGAGTAAATTGCAACTTTGGTGATTTACTTGGGAAGGAAGGATGGCTTTAATAGTGACGAGGACTGTTGATTTTTTAATCGATTTGCTTTTATGTGAAGAAGAAGAAGAGTAGATATTAATTTCACTACATATGAATTTAAATCTTCTATTATGTATATATCCATTTGCCATTCCAAGAAGAGTCCAGATTTATTTCCTCAGGTGCCAAGGCTAGTTTAGTTTGGGGATAAATAATACAGAATTCCAAATTCATATCGACTTGTCCCTGCTTCAAATTCAAATAGGATCCCATTAATGTTAACATTTCCTATTTTATTCTATTTTATTAGTTAACCGATATGTTTTTGGTTTTTTTAATCTTCTGTTTTGTCAAAAAAAAAATCCAATGTCACATCTGATTATGTCTGCTACGGATTTTTAAGTGTAAATGTCTGCTACAGATTCAAAAAGGCATCAATTTGTAGTTTTTACCATTTTTATGCCAACACATCCAGATTTTGATCCTATTTGATTTGCTAGCTTTTCTGTTTCTTTTTAACTTATTCTCTTTTTCAATCTCTTTTAAAAACAAAATTTTGATCCTATTTGATCAGAAGCTGTTTTTTTTTCCCTCACAGATTGATCGGCTCGTTTTTTTCTGAGTCCTGGCCGGGCAGCTGGCTGCCGTTTGATTATTTCTTTTTGTTTTCGTTTTCTCTGTTCTTCGCTCCTTCCCCTGGAAGGCATTTTTTTGAGAGCCTTCTTCTTTTTTGGGTCTGAAGGCTTTTTCTTTTTGTTTTGGCTCTTCATTCACTTGTATTTTATTTTAATCTATAGATTGGGCTCTGCCCCTAATTTTCCAAAAAATAATAATAATAATAACAAGAACTTGCTCAGAATTTTCCATTGGGAAACTATTTTCAGAGATCAATTTGAAAAACAAACTCGCTGGTTACAACAACAACAACAAATCTTTATCCAGTGGTGGGGTCAGCTACATAAATCTTTTTTTCTCCATTGTGTCCTGTTAAAAGTGAAATTCTCATTTAAATCTAATAAAGAAAGATCATTTCTAATATTTTCTAACAGTCTTTTTAGGTCTATCTCAACATTTCTTTACATAAGTCAAATCTAGTACCTCTACTTTCCTAACTTGATCATTGAAAGGCCGCCGTTTTATGTGACCAAACCATCTAAGGCGATTCTCTCTAATCTTATCTTCCACTTGAGCTACTCCAACCTTTTCACGTATATGCTCATTATTCTCCTATCTCTAAGGGTAAAGCCACTCATCCACCCGAGCATCCACATCTCTGCAACACTTAACTTGGTATTATGCTTCTTTTTTAATGACCAACATCAACACCATAAACTTAGAAAAACAAACTAGCTGGTTAAAGAAGAAAAAATCATTTATAAATTTTTTTAATCCTCTTGATCACCTTAAAATCTTTTATCAAACATAGGTTCAGCAGCTTCTTATCATTAGCATGCTAATCCTGATGCATGGTACTTTATAGTATATTCATAACACCTTTCCCAGCAGCAAACATAGCGTAAGAAGAAGGATTTATTATTCTGTGCGGAGTTTGGAGGGCGTTCGGAGACCGATAAAAATACACCATATCACCTCAAAAATGTGCCGCCCTCGGTACCGCTCGGTACCGAGCGCTTAACCGGACGGGAGAACCGTCCGGTGTCCCCACAAAATAAAAGCTCCTTAAGAAGAGGGGATGGATTACAGAAAAAAACCTGTAGACATAGATTGTGCCACATTAAGTTCACTGAATTCCTTCTTCACAGATTGTCACTAGTCTTTCAAATATCTACCCAAAAGATACAGAAGCGCCTCCTGCTGGGGTTGATGACATGACCAAATTGGCTTACCTCCATGAACCAGGAGTGCTGCATAATCTTGGTTGCCGGTTTGCTCTGAATGAGATATATGTAAGTCATTGCAAATCCTTTCCAAGTCAGGAATAATAGAACTACAGTTCTAATCAGTTTAAGTTTTGGATCAAACAGACATACACTGGGAATATATTAATAGCGGTGAACCCATTTCGAAGGCTTCCTCATCTTTATGATGTTCATATGATGGAACAATACAAAGGTGCCACTTTTGGTGAGTTGAGTCCACATCTTTTTGCAGTTGCAGACGCTTGTTATAGGTAAATTCAACATAAAGTCATCAAATCTTATGTAAATATGAAGGAATGATATCAACTGCTTTGAGTATTTTCTATTTAAGGGCAATGATAGATGAACATGGAAGCCAGTCCATTCTTGTCAGTGGAGAAAGTGGAGCAGGGAAGACTGAGACAACAAAGATGCTGATGAGATATCTGGCATTCATGGGAGGGAGGTCAGGGACAGAAGGAAGAACTGTGGAACAGCAAGTCTTAGAGGTGAAAAAACTATTCCCTTGAGATATTTAAAAGTTTGACAAAGCAAGATTGATTGCAGGACTAATGTATTTCATGCTATCCAGTCTAATCCTGTTTTGGAAGCATTTGGCAATTCCAAGACAGTTAAGAATAATAATTCTAGGTAAGAAATCTATTAGATGATGCCATTATCACCAAGACAAACATTAAATTGATCAAATAAACATTTCCAGTCGTTTTGGTAAGTTTGTCGAGATACAATTCGACAAATACGGGAAAATCTCAGGAGCAGCGGTTCGTACGTACCTTCTTGAACGTTCGAGGGTTTGTCAGGTTTCAGATCCTGAAAGGAACTACCACTGCTTTTACATGCTCTGTGCTGCTCCACCAGAGGTAACACTCCTTCATATTTTATGTGAAACTAATGTACTCGACTTAAATCTTATCCAAAAGATCCTTTCAGGATGTAAAGAAGTTCAAAGTGGGAGATCCCAGAACATTTCATTATCTAAACCAAACGAACTGTTATGAAGTAGCTAATGTGGATGATGCAAGGGAATATCTTCTAACTAGGCATGCTATGGATGTGGTGGGAATAAACCAGGAAGAGCAGGTCAAGTTTCCATTTAGCAATCACAAACTCCTAATCACAATAATGTCGATTATAAAACTAAACATTATGAATTTTATCCTCCAGGATGCAATTTTCCGTGTGGTAGCTGCAATCCTTCACCTTGGGAACATTGAGTTTGAGAAAGGAAAGGAGATTGATTCTTCACGACTAAAGGATGAAAAGTCTAAATACCATCTAAAAACAACTTCTGAACTTCTTTTGTGAGATAGTAATCATTAAGCCTATCTACAATCTTCTCTGTTGTTTTCTGAATATTCATTCTGAAATGTGAATCCTGATGATTGTCTCAGATGCAATGAGAAAGCACTCGAGGAATCTCTCTGCAAGCGCGTGATAGTTACTCCAGATGGTAACATAACAAAGCCTCTTGATCCGGACTCTGCAGCCCTGAGCCGTGATGCTTTGGCAAAGACAATGTACTCCAGATTATTTGACTGGTAAGCATTAGCCACATTGTAACACTAGCATATGTCCAGGATGACCAATTTAGGCTTCATTTGGGACTACTTTTTTGTTGCTTCTTAAAGTAACTTTCTAGTATAAAAATTTTAATTTTCGTACTAAAAAGCTGGTTTAAGAAATAACCAAAAAGCTATCCCAAACGAAGCCTTAGTGTGCTCGTGGTGTGCGTTAAATTTAGTATGCTTTCATGTGACCTTAAAATTTTTGTCAGGATAGTAGACAAAATCAACATTTCAATTGGTCAGGATCCTAATGCGAAAAGCCTAATTGGTGTTCTTGATATATACGGTTTTGAGAGCTTCAAGATTAACAGGTAGCTGATTTTCTACATCTATTGCTCCAAACATGCTATCCAAAATATGTATTGAACCATCTGTAAATTTCTCAACTACTACTACATCTGCAGCTTTGAGCAACTATGCATTAACCTGACAAATGAGAAGTTGCAGCAGCATTTCAATCAGGTATGTAGCTTAAAAGCGTTTTTTGTTCTGTTTATGAAATAAGAATGGAACTTGAAGTCAGAAAAAAATGTTTGCCACAGCATGTATTCAAGATGGAGCAAGAAGAATACACAAGGGAAGAGATCAACTGGAGCTATGTGGAGTTTGTTGATAACCAAGATGTGTTAGATCTAATAGAAAAGGTTTGGAATTACAAAATCTGGAGAAATTTCTCAATCAAATAATGAACCTTTTTTTGCCAACAACAAAACAAAATTTTGTGGTAGCACCTAACTATCTATGCCTTCACGCAGAAACCAGGAGGAATAATTGCACTGCTTGATGAAGCATGGTAAGCACGCTATAAAAATAACAAAGGATTCACCCATTTAAAAAAAGAAAACATTTTTATGTATTCTTCTCAAGTATCTTTGCAAATTACTGAATGTAAGGTAGATGGAGATGGAGCGAGGAGGCTAAATTACTAAAGACATACTATTAGTATTTGCTATTTACTAATAACTCAAGCAAATTTCTGCAGTATGTTTCCCAAGTCGACCCATGAGACATTTGCTCAGAAGTTGTATCAGACCTACAAAGCACACAAGCGTTTCAGCAAGCCTAAACTTGCTCGAACTGCGTTCACAATCAATCACTATGCTGGGGATGTAAGCAAAAAAACATTAAAAAAAAAACTATGTGGCCATAATAATATTCATGTAATAAAGTCTATAAAGATACTCAATAGTGGAAGCCCTTGTTTTTTTCCAACAGGTTACTTACCAAGCAGATTTGTTCCTTGATAAGAACAAAGACTACGTGGTGGCTGAACATCAGGCTCTGTTGAATGACTCAGCGTGTCCATTTGTTGCCAACCTTATTCCTCCATTGCCAGAAGAAAGTTCAAAACAATCCAAGTTCTCCTCCATTGGTACTCGCTTTAAGGTAATCAATATTCCTAAAACTGGCGCTAGTTCCTGCTAGATATCTTTAATGTTGATTTCTTGTAACAGCAACAATTGCAATCACTGATGGAGACTCTTAGCACCACAGAGCCGCATTACATCAGATGCGTGAAGCCCAACGCTGTTTTGAAGCCTGGCATATTTGAAAATTTCAATGTCCTGAATCAGCTTAGATGTGGGGTGAGCAAAATTTCTAATCTCTTGATGCTGCATTTTAGGACCAATATGTTATGCAGCCGGCCCAGGAGGGGCCGGCTAACAATTGCAGATGCAGCAGCCCTAATGGGGCCCACTTGCTTGTTTAAACAGCCATTAGGAGGGAAAATTTGAATGAGAGGCTGTTTAGGGATTTTATAAACTTCCTTTGGCTTTAATTAGTCTCTTGGAGGTTAGGGTTAGGGGATCTGGAGATTGAATGCAATTTTGAGATTTAGGGTTTTTGTCCTTGGGCTCTAGATTTGCTAGAGATTTGGAGTCTTTCTTCCTCTCGAATTGAAGAAATATATATTGCTTTGTGTTTCTTATTTGTTGTTTGAATCAAAGAAGTTTCTTCGTGTTTTCCTCTCCAATCCACTAAAAATTCTGCTTTGTTCTTACTGATTTCCCTTTGAAATCAGCCCGTTTACTCGCTGTTTGTGCCGATTCTTGATAGGTTTGCTTGCAAACTCAAGTATTATCCTTGTTGTTACTTGCGAACTCAAGTATTTCCTATCACAATATGAAAAAGCTAAAAATGTGACCATAATTATGCCACTCTCCTAGGGTGTCTTGGAGGCAATAAGAATCAGCTGTGCTGGTTACCCCACCAAGAGGGCATTTGACGAGTTCATCGATCGTTTTGGGATGCTTGCACCTGATCTCGTTGACAGGTACTATAAGTTTCAAACCTAGATATAAAAACACTTTCTACTTGGATTGGATTCTCCTCCCAAGTTCCCTACTTCCTGTCGGTTATAATTCTATTATTTCAATTTGTAGCGGCTCTGATGAGAAGCAGGCATGTGCAGCTATTTGTGATAGGATGGGCTTGAAAGGCTATCAGGTAAATGCTCAAGACTTCTGCCACAAACAATAATTAGTTTTGATATGCTTTTCTTTTATCAGATAGGGAAGAACAAGGTATTCCTAAGAGCAGGCCAGATGGCTGAGCTGGATGCCCGGAGACTAGAAGTATTGGCAAATGCTGCAAGACTTCTACAGAGGCAGATTAGAACCCACCTCATCAGAAAGCAATTCCTCATTCTAAGGAATGCCACAGTCAAGATACAAAAATTATGGCGAGGTCCTTCTATTCTCTACAGCTACAATTCTGTCATTTCTCAATTAAAATGAATCTCGTGAGCATAACAATGTAAAGTTGTAAGTATACTTGCAGGATGGTTAGCAAGAAAGCTGTATGAACATATGAGGAGAGAGGATGCCTCGATTCGTATACAGAAGTACTCACGAGGTCATGCAGCAAAAATGGCCTATGCTAATTTGAGGTCGTCGGCAATTGTCATACAAACAGGCATGCGAGCAATGGCGGCACGAAACGAATACAGGCATAGGAGAAGAATGAATGCTGCTATTATCATTCAGGTAAATTTTCTATGTGCAGCAGCATCAGAAAGAGTCCCAATACATGTGAAGAGAAGGATAATCAGTAGTTAAAAGCTTATAAAATAACTATTTTCTTATCACGCTTGTAGACACAATGGCGATTACATAAAGCTCGCAAAGCTTATTTAGAAGTGAAGAAAGGTAGTCTTATACTACAATGTCTATGGAGGGGACGCGTTGGTAGGAAGGAACTACGGAAACTCCGGATGGTGAGTTTAGTACCCCCATAGGATATGATTTTCTGAAAATGTCTGCTAAAAGGTTGTTCTTTACTGGTCAACTTGTATGTAAGGCTGCAAGAGAGACTGGAGCATTAAAAGAAGCCAAGGATAAGCTTGAGAAGAAAGTAGAAGAGCTCACATGGAGATTAGATTTTGAGAAGCATTTGAGGGTATTGTCTATCATATTCTTGATACCTCCTTAGCCAAATTCCTTTGATAAAGAAAATAAATGGTCCACTTAAATTAACTTAGGTTGATCTAGAAGAAGCCAAAGCGCAGGAGATTGCAAGGCTGCAATCTTCTCTACAAGAAATGCAAGAAAAACTTGATGAAGCCAATACTGCAATCATTAAGGAAAAAGAAGCAGCAAGAATAGCAATTGAAAATGCACCACCGGTGATTAAAGAGGTCCCAGTGGTAGACAATACAAAATTAGAGCTCCTGAAAAATAAGAACATGGAACTGGAGGTATGCATATGGAACAAGATCCATCATTTAATTTCCTTTAAAAATGATGGAGCCATTAGTTTCTTGATGTTTTGGCTGGACTTTTTTACTTTTATGCAGGATGAACTAAGTGAATTCAAAATCAAGGCAGAGAAATTTGAAAAAAGATTTTGCGAGGCACAGAAGCAGGCTGAAGCATTGACCAAAGAAACTGAAGAGTCCCAAGCAAAAATATCTCAGCTTCAAGAGATGATAGAGAGGTATAACAAGAAACATGTACTGATTTTTTCCATGTTAATACCTATTTCTATATATTTAGTATATATTTAGAACCATTTTCACCTTCAATCTGCTTCACACTTCTGCAGCCTTGAAACAAATCTATCCAATCTTGAATCTGAGAACCATGTTCTGAGGCAACAGGCCTTGGCTGCTTCAGAAAACGAGGAACTGACAGAGGAAATTAAAAGGTATGAATTACATGAGTTAAAGCTTCACCTTTAGCAGGGGCGGAACCAACCATAATTTTCAAGGGGAGACTTATAAGTAACTGTTGGCATATATGTCGGGGGTCCAAGGGCCCCCCTTGTAATAAAGACTAAAAAATAAATTGAGGGGGACAAATTATCTAAGGGGTTCCGCCCCTGACCTTTAGTGACTTAAAATATAAGACTTAAGATTCACTAAATTGGTCAAATGTTTCCCAGTCTTGAGAGCAAAATAGCAGAACTGGAGTCAGAAAACAGGCTACTCCAAAGTCAGCCTGCGCAAGTTGGCCAGGAAACATTGGCAGTTGAAACAGTACAATCAGAAGTTGTCCAGGTTTGCAAAATGCAATCCAGAGTCAGTTATTCTTCTCATTATGTTTATAATGATTATTTTTTTTTTTTAAGTTTCAGACTCCTGAGAATGGGCATCTGGAATCAGGAGAAGAACCTAAGATAGAAAATGTATGGAAGTTATTCTTGATAATTATTTGAAGACACCATTAGTCAATCAATTGGGAAATGGATTTATGAGTAAACTTTAGCTTTGTTTACAGGTGCCAGTGGTGGTCCCTCTTACTATTTCCTTAAGTAAACAGAAGTCACTAACCGATAGGCAACAGGTAATCATAAACAAAATTAGAAGAATTCAATATATTTATTAAGTCTCATGCTCCACCATAAATTCCTTTCTTATTTTTATCTTAAGGAAAACCATGACGCACTAATTAAGTGTCTCATGGAAGACAAGAGGTTTGACAAGAAAAGATCAGCAGCAGCATACATTGTTTACAAATCATTGATCCAGTGGCATTCGTTTGAAGCAGAGAAAACAAATATATTTGACCGTATTATCCACACAATAAGGTCAAACATTGAGGTAATCCAATCAATGGCTCATTTTGACTCAATATAAATGGAATTATCGTGAATTCATACAATCAATTACAAACATCAGAGTTTGAATTTACTGTTTCTTGTGTACAAAATCAACTTGTTTTTATTAGATCTAAATGAGAATTTAACTCTTAACCGAACACAATGGAAAAAAAGAATTCATGTAGCCGACCCCACGTAGTGGGATAAATATTTGATGTTGTTATTATTGTTGTTCCGTACAGAATCAGGAAAACATTGGGGAACTTGCTTACTGGCTTTCAACAACCTCCACCCTTCTATTTCTTCTACAAAATACCCTCAAATTAAGCAATGTGTCAAAGTCAGGTGCAAATCATAGACAAAGCAGTTCAGCTAGTCTGTTTGGCAGAATGGCAAGAGTAAGATCTTTTAATCATGGGAAAAAAATTCTTGAAATCCAATAGACTAAAAATATAAATATTTTTACATAGCTTGTCTTTTTATTGTTATCAATGAGAAAGTTCACATTTCCAGTATGCTTGTTTGCTTGGTTAGAGAAAATAACCTGGAGTAAAATGCATTTTCAGATCACCCGTTCATCTTCCCCAGAATTAGAGATTTCCAGTGGCTATAGTGGAATGGCCAGCAAATCTGACTGCCAGTCCAGAGTAGATGCAAAATACCCAGCCCTCTTGTTCAAGCAACAGCTCACTGCCTACGTAGAGAAAATATATGGGAAGATCCGAGACAGATTAAAGAAAGAGATTAGTCCATTTTTAACAATGTGCATTCAGGTATGTCTTCAACCAAGAATAATATAAAGAACTACAATATGAATATTCAAAACCACGCCAACTCTTCCTTGAGAAACCCAAAATGCAGGCACCAAGGTCTGCAAGAACTAGATCCACCCGAGTATCCTCAAAGAGCATTCATTCAAATGTAGCAGCCAAACAAGCATCAAATATACATTGGCAAAACATTGTTAAGAGCTTGGATCACTTTCAAATCATATTGCATGAAAATTATGTAAGCCATAAATTAGCCATCAGTGCTTAACAAAATTGAAAAGAAAACAATTAGCCTTTTTTATCTCCATTTGTATTTTTCAGGTGCATACCATGATAATACAAAAAATTTACAGACAAGTATTTGCATTTATTAATGTGCAGCTTTTTAATAGGTAATTTTCCAACATTATCTATCTATTTATATTTCATATTCAGGCTTCGTTTGGGGCGGCTTTCTTATTGCTTCATAAAGCATATTTTTGTACTAGAAAGCTGCTTTAAGAAGCAGGAAAAAAGCCGTTCCAAACGAAGCCTAAGACAGATACCAAACTGCTAAATAAACTTCCTTACTTTCCTTGCAGTTTGCTTCTTCGTCGAGAATGCTGCTCATCTAGTAATGGTGAATTCTTGAAGGCTGGTCTAAATGAATTGGAGGAATGGTGTTCTAAAGCAATACAAGAGGTTAGTCATTCTACTAAATCAAAACAGAAGCCTTTGCAAAAACTTCTTTTTAAATCATTTAATAAATTTCGGTAATCATTGCTGTTCTTGCAGTCTGCAGGAACTTCCTGGGATGAGCTCCAACACATAAAACAAGCAGTAGGGTTTTTGGTGAGAGCAAAATCCAGATTCCATCGAACATTCTCCTTCATTTTTGTATCCTATGCATAAACCTTGCTCTGTATGTAGGTTTTGCATCAGAAGGCCCACAAATCCTGGGAGGAAATCACAAATGAACTATGCCCAGTAAGTCAAAATGCAAGCTCAGAAGATTCATTCCAATCTACAAAATCCTCAAGAATCTAACAAAAATTCATTTGTGATTGCTTCAGGCATTAAGCCTTCCTCAAATCTATCGCATTGGTACAATGTTTTGGGATGACAAATACGGAACACAAGGTTTATCTCAAGATGTAAGTCATCTAATGACTCATTTTATAAATTTCTACATAAATCATCAATCAAAATCCCAGCTTTCACTATCTGGGCTATTTGTTCTCCTATTTTAGGCAGGATTTAAAAAAGATTTAGCTTAAATCCTGCCAAATTAAATTTTGAGAACTTTAAATCCTATTATTTTGATAAATCCCATTTCAACATCATTATTAGTTAAATCTAGGATTTGTTAAATCCCTATTCTCAGGATTTAACGAATTAACAATATCTCTCTCTCACACAAAACTTAAATTCTGATACCAATAACCAAACAAATATTACAATTGTCATGCCAAACAATTTCTAGGTTTAATCTTCTCAAGATTTATTATGGTTTATGGCTTTTTTACTTCTTTTTAGAACAATTTTTTAATTAAAAAAATTTAAATTTTTATACTAAAAAACTGCTTTAAGAAGCAGTAAAAAAGCTGTCTCAAACAAAGCCTAAATCTGACCTCGTAAGATTTACTAAACTCCACTTGTAGCCAAACAGCCCCTTATATAGCTAAAAGAAAATAAATCAACCAGGTCATATGCATGTAGATTATGACCACAACGTAAACATTCTACCCAAAAATTGCATTGATTTCAGGTAATTGGGAAGATGAGAGCCATGATGACTGATGATTCTACCAACATTCCTAACAGCTCTTTCTTATTGGATGATGATTCAAGGTAAGTTATCAAATTTAGAGAATAAAAATGTATGAAGATGAAATCAAAAGTTATTAAATCATTTTATGATTCAGCATACCATTTTCTCTGGACGACATAGCACGCTCAGGAATCGACATCAACCTCGCCGATGTAGAGCCACCGTCTCTACTACGGCAAAACTCCGAGTTCCATTTTCTACTGCAACAGCTTACGAATTGAGTGACTCCATTTTTTTTTTTTTTTTGAATTCTTTTTTGATAATATGAAAGGAGGCCAAAAAGTGGGAAAATGTAATTTATTTTCTTTTTCCTCTTTGGTGTGGCTAAGTATTTTTGAGTGTGCAAAGTGTTTTTTTATTTTTTCTTGATTTTTCGGCTTTTATTTTGATTTGCCAAAATAAAGGTTTTTTTTTTTTTAGTTTTGTTGTGCAGTTTGTATTTGAGATTGGGAATTGTGAATTGTATTGTAAAAGGGATAATAAAAAGTATTTTATCTTGCTATTGAGATCATAAAAGAACTGTTCTTGATTTTCATTTTGTTGTGAGATTCATGGATGGAACCTATGATAGATATCTACACATTAAACCTATAAAAAATCAAAAAATTCTTAGGGGCTGTTTGGTAGCAGGATTTAGGCCGGATTTGAGGCGGATTTGAGCGAAATCCAGCCAAACGGCCTAAAATGCAAAACCAAATCTCACGGCAAGTGAAATCCGGGATAGACGGAAAATTCCGCCGATTCGAGCGAAATCCGGGATTTCGGAAATCCTTTATTTTGCCGGATTTACGAAATCTAGGCACTAGAGTAAGAGTCCCGGGTAAATCCTGCTCTATAGCCAAACAGTCACACAGAATTTAATTGGATTTATCATGAATGTTACCAAACAGTTTTCAGTATTTAACCCCTCAGGATTCCGTAAATCCAGAATTCGGAGGATTTACGAAATCCTACTTAAATGAAATCCTACATTCTACCAAACAGCCCCTTAGAGTACCTAAAAGATATTATAATGATTAAAAAAAATGATATTACCATAATCATATAAATCTCAATTTTCAAAAGGTGTAATCGAGTTGAGTTTTGTGGTGCAAATATAGCAGAAACAAATTCAGAATCAAATCACAATCAACCTAAAGAACACTGCTATTTATGTGATTCGATACATTCATGAGTGTTGACCTACACTGTATGCAAACGAAGAAACGAAAAAAAAAAAAAAAAAACATTTTTTTTACCTGTCCGGAAGCCGCTCGCACGACGTTTTCCACGAAATCGACGTCGCCTCTCGCACGTTCTGGCCTTGAAGTTAAAATGAGAATGAGAGAGCTGTCGTTCTTCCACTCTCTTCCATTCCCTCGCTCACGACCAGACCTCCTTCGCCTGTTCCCAGCGAGAATAATTCTCTTCCTCACGCTTTTCCTCACGCCAAAACCCTGTTCGCGATTCCTCCTCTCCAATCTGCGACCGCATCCCTCCGAGCTAATCCTTCCGATCCCAATATCCGACCGACCTCTTACCTATTCGAATACTTCGGCTAGATCCCGTCGATTTCGCCAACCGCCGAAGTCCGCTCGCACGCATGGGCTCTTTGTCACTGTTCCGGTTGCAAGACTTCAACCGGCCAGACTCCATCCGCTTGCCCTATTCCCATAGAAGCCGACCGGTCCTTTGCGCAACATTCTCTGTTGGATCGGAAGTGAGGAAGACGATCGAAGCTCGCTCGCTGAGAAGGTAGCCATTTTTCTTTCGCTCGCCTCGCCCGCTTCTTCGGACAAAACCCTTGAAAACGACGGAAAAAACAGGGAAATAGTGGATTTAACTCACTGTTGGATTTAATTATAATTATTATGATAAATTATTTTTAATTAATTATTATTAATTATAATTATTCATAATTATAAATTAATTATTTTTAATTAAAATTAATTATTAATAATAAGTAGTTATAATTAATTATCTTTTATTTTAATTATTTATTTTTAATTATAATTAGTTAAAGTTAATTAAAAGAAAAGGAAGGAAAAAAGAAAAGTGCCTCGAGCCTCCAAATGTGTGCCGACACCGCCAACATAACAGTCATTGCTAACGACAGCACTGTCGTTGACCCTTGCACAGGTATAAAGGTCCAAATCTTGTCCTTGGGGGGATAGCGTGTGTGACGCGTTGGTCAGCCACCTATACACACTTTTCTTAATGTGTAGGAGAAAGAGAAAACCTGATGCAACATCTGTTGTGAGGCAAGTAAGTCTTATACATGCTTTTCTTAGCATTGCGGGGATAATTTTAAGTACCCGTATCCACCACAGTTCGGCTAGGAAACAATTATGCACTTTTAAGAAGCTACCAGGAAGATTCATACATGCTTTTCTTAGAGTTCTGGGATTGAAGACTACAGTCGTTGTGTCTACGGTCACTTACTATACACATTTTTCTTAACATGGTGGGAATGTCCAGTCCCCTAAATTTCTTCCAAACGGGGGATATGTTGGGATGCTGCCAAAATTCAGAGTGAAACACACATAACTTGAACAATAATAAAATCTAACTTGAACAACAATACATAGGACATGTACTTGAATATAAATGCACAAAACTTGGACAAATGCACAAGAGGCTTGTATGAATGACATGGAACTAAATTTGAAATGAACAAGAAGAGGACTTGAACCGAATTATAAGGAATTGGAACCTAAACACTAAACTGCATAATTAACTTAAAAATCAAATTCAAAAATACAATTCAAGTCACTCAATCAAATACGAATCAATAAGCAGGGGACTTACGATAAATAATATCTTTGATATATGTAAATGATGGCATTCAATCAATTCTAAATAATGCCAAGCTACTCCAAACAAAGAATAACTTTATATGCAAATAATAATCAGCCTGCAAATCGAAGAGGCAATGAATGAGAATTAATTTGCAAAATCTAAGTGATTACAAGCAAACAAATGTCAATCATCAATACATGAATGCATGCCGACTGTAGAATACACGGGTGTCTCCTACTTGTATCAATGAAAGCCTTAACGCAAACGACTGTAAACTTGCAAGTTGAAGTGGTGACTTTTGCAAAAAATAGTAGAAGACCCGTAATACATACAACAACTCATGTAAAGACAATAGGTATTGAATGTAGTAATGCCTCATAATCAAGATCAATAACGTGCATGCAACTAATGTTATTGCAAACAATTACACAAATGCCACATATGAATAGTGAGGGTGGATGTAATGCAAGTACATATAGCATGCAATAAACACTAGTGTGTAAATGCAACCAACATAATAGATTAATGTGCATTTACAAAGTATGAGGCAAATATAGCTTGAGTGCAAATTAGCACCATTCAAATGCACCAATTTGCTGATAAATGATGACAGTGGATATGATAATTCACCAATTGGTATGCATATGAAAAGTCAATGATGAGTATAACTCATCCAGTAGCCTGCAGTAACATGCAAATGCTAGGAGATTCATACAATAAGCAGTGATCCAACATCAAATGAATGCACTGATTTGATTGTGATCGATGACGGCTAATATGATCTACATGTGGATAACAACAGTGAGTATATCATAAGTACAACGAATCTCCTATGGACACAAATACATACAACATATACAAACAACTGTAGGAGATATGCTGCATATAGTAGTCTATCTATGGATGACGACGAATAATGTACAATAAATGTAAGATCATTCTTGCAATATACAATCATCCAACAGTCAAACAATTGCACTAATCCTTTGAAGATCAATGTCAGCATGTAAACGAATATACAAATCTACCTACAATCAACATTTGACGGCAAATAAAGAATGCATACAACAGTCCTCCCTACGGACACCTATGAGCAACGGTGATTGAGATGTTGCGAGTATGTTGGATATAAAAGGTAATCACAAGTATCTACGAGTTGCTATAAGAAACTCACTAATGTACCATTAGCAGAAGACTCTAACTACGATGCTGTGACATGAAGCATGCATAATTGAATAATTATGTAGAGTCAAAGAACAATCAGTTGAAAAAATGTTTCATCTCATCATCTCTACATAGATACCAAGGACTTTTGGCAACTGCAAGTATTTGCAAACCACCTCAAGATTCATGTTATTTTACTGCTAGAGGGCCTCCATTACGACATTAATGATGCAAAGTTAAATAGTTTTATGAATGATTCTATAAAGTCAAAGAATGAGTACTTGAAGAAAAAAAAAAGATGAATGATGTCTCATTCTATCATCTTTTCAAAAATATAGTGTCACTCAAGTAAGGACCCGGAGATCAAGCCCCTCAACTCAATGGCCTACCCTTATGACAAGTTGGAGACAAAGCAACATAACGACGCATCAATCGAGACTCTGGCCTCATCATCTTGTGCTGTCTCATCTATCACAAAATAACCTCATGTCTCAATCAATGTTGAGTCGAATACCATAGAACAATGCTCTATTTGCATTCATCTCATTCTAAAAATACACTCAAAATAATCACTCAATATCAGTTCAGTTAATGAATAAATAGAACACAAATTTATTAAAAAGCTACATATATATGAGCTTAACAGAGTTAATCTCGATGGCCTTAAAAGTTGACCTATGGCTTATTTTCTTTTAAAAGCCCTATTTTGTCTTACCACCAAAACTACAATTAAAAATAAAAAAAATAAAAAAATAATGAGACTTCATTTGAATAATTTTATACCACTATTTTTTCTCGTTTTGAAAAAAATTTTGTATAAAAAAACAGCTTTATGAAACAATAAAAAAATTGTCCCAAACGAACCCTGAATATACATTCTAAATCCATAATCTTATATAGACACATGTAAAACTTTTAAATAATCCATTGAATTATATACTTATATATAAATTTGAATTGATTTTATTTTGCCTAAAATTAAATTGATTGAATTTGCAAATTATTTTTTAGTGAAAAATTCTTATTGTTTTTTAACAAGTCTTAACTGATCTTAATAAATAACTCATTTAAGATTAAAGTTTCATTTGAGACAACTTTAACTGATTTATTTTTTCATATCGTAATCATAATTTCTATTTGATAACTATTTTTTCATTGCTTTTAAAAAAAATTTCACTAAAAAGTTATTTTATACAACAACTTTAAAAAGCTACTTTTCTTCAAAAGTTTTACAAACAGTAAAGAAAAATCCCAAATAAAGCTTGAATCAAGCAAACTAGAAATCGAATTCAGATATGTAAGTGGGTACATAATGAATGTCTAAGGTTTCGTTTGGGACGACTTTTTTATTGCTTCTTAAAACAGAGTTTTAATACAATCTGCTTTAAAAAACAATAAAAATGTCATCCCAAACAAAGCCTAAGTGTATGTTGGAGAATCTATCCAACTTATAAAAACAAAAATTGATAAAAACCGAATCAATATTTGGTTTGAGGATCATAAGACCCTACGATCAGCCAAAACTTACTGGAAATCTTAACAAAGAAAATCATATCTCACTTTCTATATTTGAGAAAAATCTTGTAGGAGAAAACATGCAAAAGCTGCCTATCTCATGCTAATACACACAAAATGCAGTATTAAAAGCCAGCCCTCCACGGTAGGCAAATCCATACATTCCTAACATCTTAAAAACAAAAACTAAAGCACAACAAATAGAACAGTTTCTTTCAACAACAAGATCCTATCAATCAGCTAACAAGCTATCTTTTTTACAGAAAACAGCTCAACTGGTGTTGCTATCTTCAACTTCAATTGGCAGCAGAAGAGGCTCCAAAGTCTCTACGATGTCTCTCATGAGAGGCCGCGCCTTTGGATTGCGATTGAGACAATGATAGGCCAACATGGCCATCTTGTGAACCGCCTTCGCCGGGTAATCGCCACCCAGCCTTGGATCAACAATGTTGAGGAGAGACTTCTTCTGCATGAGCAGTGGTAAAGCCCAATCAGCAAGAGTCTGCTCTTTCACCGGCCGCGATTTGTCGAGGGATTTTCGTCCGGTGATTAGTTCGAGGAGTACAACGCCGAAGCTGTAGACGTCGCTCATTGCAGTCAGATGACCTGTATGGAGTGTCACAAGTGGTAAAGATAGTTTTCACAATGTATGTTGATATGTATGACATAACAATGGAGCTCAAAGTTTCGCATCAATGTTTTGCTATAATGGCATTATACTTTTCATCAAAGTGAAGCTGAGGTCCTATATATGAATCATAAAAGCTAATCACCTCATGCCTTTCAATTAATACATCAACATAGTTTCTCAATAAAAAAGAAAAAAGAAGCCCTCTTCCACAGAGTTAACATGCTAAGTGTTAAATAAGTGTGCTATCTCGTTTCTGAGTCTTTTATAATATGGTATTAGTTTTGAAGATGCTACGCAATGATCTTGTGAGCATTGAAGATGTCAATGTTTATATGATAGTGATACGTCATCATGAAATTATCTTTATCGGGCACGAATCTCGAGGCAAAACCCAAACCGGAAACTTCAAAAATTAAATTCGGGAGCACGTGAACTCCGATTAAAGCGAGCTTATAGTCAAACTGAGCGTCTCGGAAATACGAACCCAACGACACCAAGTTCGACCCAATCCGAGCCCAAATGGGTCCAAATCATGGATCCGAAGCGCTGTTGGAAGGTTCAAACCACTATTTGAGTTACCAAATGGACTCCGATTTTGACGAGCTTATACTCGAATCGAACGGCTCGACGAGACGAATCCAACGAGCCCAAGATCACCGAATTCCGAAATCTCTAAGGCCTTCAAATGTCCAACGAACGGTGCATGATTGTAGGATTCAACATCGGTCGTCCATTCGACCACTCCCTATTCGTCCCTGATCTCACGTCTATTTACGGGTCATGCCACTCCAGAAAATCTATAAATAGAGCGCTCATTCTTCACATGAGAGGGGGGGTCCAAGCAAGAAGAGAAGGAAGAAGCTCCTCCTCGATCACCGACGGGACTTCGTCGGACCACCGCCGGAGCCTCGCCAGACCACCGCAGGAACTTCGCCGGAATACAACGGTCTTTCAGACCCCGGTCTCCTGCCGACTACGGTCCTTCTGACCTCTGTCGCCTACTACGGTCCGTCCGATCTACATCACCAGATAATAGTCTTTCAGACCCTAGTCTCCTGCCGACTACGATCCTTCAGGCCAAACAAACATGTATATGTAACTCCTACCATGTAATGCAATCTATATGATGTACATTTGCTACATCAATCCAAGGCCTTCTCCCAAGGAAGGGCCTCATTTGTAATCGACTACAAATACTAGTGGATTCATTCAAACTGGGTCAGACCCCGTGGTTTTTCCCCCTTTTCAGGGGTTTTCCACGTAAAAACTCTGGTGCCTCTTATGAATGCTACACCCTCTCTTTTTCTGTGTGTGTGCTGGATCTTCGTACAATGCTAAGACGTTAAACTATATACTTCTCTACCGCCGCGAATACTCCAGGACGCAACAGATAGCATGACATGTTAATAGGTACGGCAAAAAATGATTCAACTCCAAAAATTTGGATTCGGGTTGATCCGTTTAATAAACATGTTGTGGTCGGGTCGTGCATTTCGATCCGTTTATTAAACGGATCGCGGGTACAGGTTGACCCGACAAACCCATTTTGACCCAAAATGACACATTTAATATTCTTTTTCTTAAATTCTTTTATTTATTGGTGTAATACTACTATTTTTAATAAATTAATCTAAAATCTATGATTAATATGGTAATAAAAATATTTTTTAAATTAAAACGACTTATCAGGTCAGGTTCGAGTTCAATTTTTTCAACATCTTCTGTTTATTTATATATTCGATGAAAAACTCTGAATTATTCAAAACCTTTTCATATATCTTAAATACTTTAAAGATTATGTACATTATTAGAGGTATAAATATGATAAAAATATCATACAAATAGCTAAATGTATTGATAATTTTTTTTTCTTATTAAAATTAGAATTTAATCAAATAACTTAAATAAAATCTAGTGAATTAAAATTTAAAAACTAAATTATGCCTTAGTTATAGTTTAAATCATTAACATTAAATATATAATTAGTTAAGATATATTAAAACTCAATTACAGCTTGACTCTTGATAAGAAAATAAATGAATGATCATTACAATCCTGATTATAAACAGCATGACCACAATCACCAAACCCTGTATTCAGCCAAACATAATTTCTGATTGTAGAAAGATCATTAATCCATAGCCTTTCCAAGTTATCTAAATATAGAGAAAAAATTAAATAGCAGTGAATCAATAGATACAGTTTCCACATGAAATTCCCATGCTCTCTATAAATGTAATAAGAAATAAAAGAAATATGCATAATGATATGTTATGATTGGGAACACTGATCGCATTAATCATTTAGATCTTGTTTGGGATGACTTTCTTACTACTTTTTAAAACAACTTTTTTGGTACAAAACTTAAAATTTATGTACCACAAAACCGCTTTAAGAAGCAGTAAGAAAGCTACCCCAAACAAAGCCTTAATGAATGAGAAAATGGTAAATGCTCATAGAATAGATACTCATACATGCATGATATCAAATTTAGGGTGTCAATTTCGGGTCATGGGTCGGGTTCGGGTCGAACTCGGAACTGAACCAGCACTATTCAGATCAACCCAAACATGACCCGTTTTTTATACGGGTCGGTTTTCCAGACCCGAACCCAACCCGCTTCGGGTTCAAGTCAACCCGACCCTACCTGATTCGGGTTCGACAGCGGCAGAAATCACGCTTTTTCGGCGGTCAGCAGCGGCAGGTGATGCGACGTGGCATCGCCGCATCGTGGGCAGCGGCAAATGCGACAAAGGCAGCGCCGTAGCAGCTCGCGGGCAGGCAATGCAACGTGCGACAGAGCGATGTAACACGTGGCAGAGCGGGGAGTCGGGTCATTTCTGGGTTTTCGGGTCAACCCGACCCGATTTTTGAAACGAGTCAAAAATCTCAACCCAAACCCGACTTGGTTTGGGTTCGGGTCAACCCAAACCCAAAATTTCCGGGTCGTGTTCGGGCCGGGTCAAATATTGACACCCAATAAAAAAATAATGATACCAAGAGAAAGGAACATGTGAGGTAAAATCAGCTTGCATTATGAGAAATATTCTTGAATGACATTCTGTAGTTTTTAGTCCATATAAACTTACCTGTCATTATGTACTCAGGAGCTGCATAACCACGAGTTCCCATGATTCTAGTGGATACATGAGACATGTCGCCAACAGGGCCAGCTTTTGCTAACCCAAAATCTGAAAGTTTAGAATTGTAATCCTACACAAAATGAAATTTGGACAAGGAAATTAATCAAATATGTATTAGAAAATAAGGTTTCTACTATGAAATGAGATGTGGAACAATAAATGAAAAAAAAGAGAGTTTATTATGTAGAAAAAAAAACAAAAAATGTGTTCAGTTCAGCACAGTTATCTTCAAATGCTTCTGTTTATTTATATATTTGGCCAAACAGGCTTGTCTTGCCAAAATTATGATCTACTGGCATTGGTTCTTACTTCTTACCAAACTATTTATTCTGCTCTTCATAAAGGCATTCTAGGATAAATAGATGCAAGCAAACTAATTAATACTGAACTGTACTTAAGGCATTAATCTATTATGCACCAACATTTTCCTCAAAGAAGTTGTGCAGTGTCCAACACGACTCGTGTCAGACAGGCCTCTGACATGTGTCGGACACGCCGAAAACTTGTCTGATTAAAAAATATTAAATACAAATTGGACACGTGTGTTTGACATGCGTGTCCGACACGCGTCTTAATTATTTTATGAATTTTTTAAAATATATATATATTTTTTTCTAGTTAAAACTTTTATTTATTTAAAATATAAAAACTATATTTCTTATTTCCTATCCATAACACCAAATCAATTTCCCGCACTCAATACCCCATTCATCCAATATTCTCATTTTCATTTCTCTTTGGCGGATCGCGACTTTGGTTTCATTTTAAGCACAAATTCTAACTAAATGACTTATTATTTATAAATTATTTCTAATATTATACTAATTAAATTTTTATGCACTATTTTTAAAATATAAATATTATAATACAATGTCCAATCTAATTCCTGTTTTATATTTTCAATAATTGACGTGTCCCATGTCTGTGTGGTGTCGTATCTATGTTATCGTGTCTATATCTGTGCATCATAGGCTTTAAGTGTTACAAATATATAGAACTAGTTGAAGCAGATGAGATTTGGTTTGGAAATACTGATCGCTCCCTAAAGTATCAAAAAATTGGTTGGATGCAAAGAAATCAAATTAAAATTATATAATATGCTAGCTGAGATCTAGTGGTTGGATTAGACTGCCAACTATACTGGCTTTTCTTTGAATACAAGGCTTATTATTGATGAAACATTAGTCAGAATTGGCCTCGCTGGACGAGAATTTTACTTTTAACATGACACAATGGAGAAAAAAGATTCATGTAGACAACCCCACGTAGTGGGACAAAGAGTTGATGTTGTTGTTGGCCTCGCTGGACATAGACAATAAAATAAGAGATCAAGCATTACAACAATATCAAGATTTTTTACTCTTGATGATAGCCTGGATTAAGAACATAGATCGGTGAACAAATCGAATCAAACGGTGGAATGAATCAGCGATATCCAAGCTGAGAATAGCAGAAATAAGAACATAGATATATGTTTGTGGAAGTTATATGTTTGTGGTAAAAGAAGGTAGCTTGAAAAAAAAGATTAAGGTTTCGTTTGGGGCGGCTTTCTTAATGTTTTCTAAAGCAATTTTATAGTACAAAAATTTTTATTTCAAAAAATTTTTATACTAAAAAATTATTTTATGAAGCAGTAAGAAAGCCATCCCAAATGAAGCCTAAATTAGAGGTGTGCTCTCATAAGCACCTACTTAAGATTAAGGCTTCATTTAGGACTGTCTTTTTTACAGCTTCTTAAAGTAGCTTTATAGTAAAAAAATTAAAATTTTTATACTAGAAAACTGCTTTAAGAAGCAGTAAAAAAGTCATCACAAACGCCTAAGATAACGCAAGATAGACTCAGATGATTTGGGCGAATAAAATGAAGGGTAGGATATGCCTAATAAGATGAGTTCATATAAAATCACTTTCAAAAAAAAAAAAAGAGTTCATATAATAATGTGGATGAATTAAAATAAATAAATATACTGAAAGTAATCTGACAATAAGTTGCAAAAAAAAATGTTAAATAGAGTTAAATCCTGATTTAGAAATCAACAAGACAACACAAGAAGATAGCAGGAAAGAAGTAAAAAATTGAGAATAAAGCTATGATTGCAAGGCCTCAAAATGGTTTTGAAATAAATCTCAAACTTCCACACATAGGAAAATGAGTTTGGTGATCTCCTCCCCAACCGTTTCACCTGAAACTAAAAGTTTATGCAGCCATATCTTAGCAAATTGATGCTTTGCTTGCAAGCTTCAACATATTAAACAGGTCATGGGAACCTGGATGGGTAAGCAACAGCATCAAGCCTCCGTCCCATTATGTGGGGTCGGCTACATGAATCCTTTTTCTCCATTCCGTCATGTTACAAGTCAAATTCTCGTTTAAGGCCTCATTTGGGACGGCTTTCTTACTGCTTCTTAAAATAGTGTCCAGTAAGAAAGCCGTCCCAAATGAACCCTAAATCTAATAGTGATTTATAGTAAGGTGAAATAAAAATCAATTATGTGAGAAAGGTGAGAAGAAAAATCAAAATAAATTCTGCATTTAGAGACCTTCCCTATTGACAAAAGCATATATTAGGATTGACCAAAGTTATTTTGGCGCATTACTGTTGTTGCGGGCTATTTATAGTAAGGTGAAATAAAAATCAATTATGTGAGAAAGGTGAGAAGAAAAATCAAAATAAATTCTGCATTTAGAGACCTTCCCTATTGACAAAAGCATATATTAGGATTGACCAAAGTTATTTTGACGCATTACTGTAACAAAGGATTAGACAAATAACAAATTTAGACATACTTACCTCATCTAACAAAATATTAGCTGTCTTAAAATCACGAAAAATAACTGGCATTTTAGCTTCATGGAGAAAAGCAAGACCGTTGGCAGCTCCAAATGCAATTTTCACTCGAATGGCCCAAGAAAGTGTAGGTAGAACTCCTGCAAATTTAAAAAAAAAAAAAAATACAGTTAGGAGATTTCTACCTATTTTCTCAAAAATGTTCTTGAGGAAATCACTATATGCAACAGTTTGCAGAATCACTTTTAAAGAGATTAGCTTCCACACTGCCCAGAGCCATGAACTCATATATGAGAACCCGGTGGTTTTCCTCGCAGCAATATCCAACCAATTTCACTAAATTTGGATGAGAAAGTTGCCCAAGGAACAAGACCTCTGCCTGCAACATGAACAGCTTCAATGAGACTGAATTAATGGCGGACAGAAAGAAAGATTACTATAAAGTTGAAAAGAAACAGTTACCAGCCACTCCCTATGGCCCTGGAAACTATCTCCATCATGAACTTTAACAGCAACTTGAAGAGATTGTAATCCCTTCCTGAAATCTTCTGTGATTACTCCCTTATAAACTATTCCGAACCCCCCTGCACCCAGAATGTTTTCCTGCCTGAAATCCCCGATTATTTCTTTTAGTTCATCATAGGTGAAAGCAATCAATGGGTTTACAGCAGAATCCCTACGAAAGTTTTCAACTTCCTCGGGATTGGATGGCAATTTACTATGTTCCTGCTCCTTCTCCTCCTCCTCCTCCTTCACTACTGGAAGGCTCGTGGCTTCTGGAGATTCTACCAGTGTTTTGGAAGATGATTAGGTTGAGGACGAAAAGAAAAACCAGAAATTAAAAAGGATGATGATATTCCAAGCAAAATTTAGCTGAATACAGTAGAAATTTCTACAATTTTCATCAAGTTTGAAGGAATTAACTTCTGCTTTACAAGACAACAGTGATGACAGCTCTAAATAGTTCTTCTGCAACAGGAGAATTTGAAATTTACAGGTTGAACAAAGTTCTTTAAATGAATCTTGTTGTGAAAGATTTACAGTTTTCATGAACATAAATTATAAAAATTGTAAAACCAAATTGTAAAAAAGATTAAAAAATTCTAACTTGTATTGTTCTTTCTATCTCTCAAACAAGGCGGAGCAAGAACAACAAAATTTTATTCTTTTAAAATCACATAAAATGCATCAGATAAAAATACTGACCTGATTTCGCATTAGAAGATACTCTGTTAACTAAAGGCTTCCCCAGGAACAAGCAATTTCCCATAATTGATCAAAAACCTCAAATTTACTGCCTCAGAAAGAAGCCGGCGCCATGAACAAAAAAACAGAGAAGTTGAAAGGGCGAGAGAGTAAGAAGGACAGTCAAAGGAATGAGCTTTTTCAGAACATGGAGTTAAATTTCATTTCAACAGAAAGAAAGATGGGAGGAAAGCAGAAAGAAACAACAAAAAACCGCGATTTTATAAATTAAATATTCAACGAAGGAAGTAGGAAGGACTGAAGATAAAAAGAACTGGTAGACTTCCCCAAGTCCTCTGGGTGACAATGGAGGTAAAAAAAAAACAAGATGGAGAGATTGCAGTGGGTTTCTCTCCTTTTCGAAGTGATTTTTTTCTTTTTTTTTTTAAGAATCGTAATAAATAAGGCTCAAATTCGTGATTTTAAACAAATAATCTTGATCGGTTGGTTAGAAGCTATTTATAAATTTATTTTGATTGACTTTCAAAAATATATAAAAAAAAAACGAACAGTCTTCTCCGGCCATTAAGCTGTGAAAATGCGGGTATCTTCTTATAATTATTTTTTGATAAAAAAAAATATTAATTTTGAATTGGGAGAGCAAAAAAGGAATTTGTATTGAAGGGCTCAAGTCTCCTTTTGCTTCTTTAAATGTGCAAAGGAGGGAATTTGGACATGAATCTTGAGGCATATCCAAGTTGAAAATTTTCAAAGTTAAATTTGGAACCTTCCGAACTCCAATTTCAGTGAACTTATACTCAAACTAAACATTTCGAAGAGACAAACCCAGCGATTCCAAAATCAAACCAATCTGAGCCTAAATGGGTCCAAATTGAGGGCCTAAAACACATTTGAAATATTCAAAGCATAAGTTGGATAACCAAATGATATCCAAATATATCATGTTTATAGTCAAATGGACCGGCTCGACGAGATGAATCTAATGAGTCTAAGTTCACTCACTTGAGAATAGCTCTCATAGCATTGTATTCTTTCAACCCCAATTACAATATGATGTATATTTCTTACATTGAGCCAACGCCTTCCTCCGAGGAAGGACACTATTTGTAAATTATAATCAACAACAAACACTAGTGGATTCATTTCAACAGGGTCAGCCCTGGTGGTTTTTTCATTTTAAGGGTTTTCTAAGTAAAAATTTTAGTGTCCCTTTTAACTCTTTGACCCCTCTCTCTTATTTATTTGTGTATTGGATCTTCGTAAAAAGTTTAGATGCTAGACTCTATATCTCTCAATCGCTGCGAATGTTTCCATTCCACAATAGTACACATTTTTTGTTTAAAAATATTTTAAATTTAGTTAATATGTCCTCAAATTTGAATATTTTTATGAGAAAAATAATATTTTCAAATTTCAATGACTAAATAATTTTACATTTTTTTTATTTTTTTTCATTGTCTTCAAAACTTTGTTTGATTTGTTTCATTAAAGATATAAAATAAAAGGAATATATGTATTTTAATTTTAGATGCATAATATTTTTCTCTAAGGTGTTTTAGTACAAAGTAAAATACATGACACCAAAGTTATTGGTCATGTGTCCCGATTTAATTGGAGTCTGGACATAATTTTACATTTGGACTCCACACGTAATAGTTTCTTCTTCATAAGACATAAAATACAAAAATAATAATAATTAGTGTGATGTTAGGCATCAAACTTAAATTCAATTTATGTGGTCATCATTAATTTATTAGGTCTAATTATTACTTATGCAAATAAAAAGGTCATAGTTATTAACATATATACTAATGATTATAAATGATTTCTATTTATGCTTCTAAGTTATTTTTAAGATACATTTAATACAACAATTATCTCTCTACGATAATACATTAGTTAATAAATTCCATAAATAAATTAATTAAAATATAACATTAATCTCTCTCTCTCTCTCTCTCTCTTTCATAAAAGAATTCAAAACATTTAATTTCTTAATATTTAATTATTTACTTTCATACCAAAAAAATTAGGAATCTACCCCAATAAAAGGTAATTGACAAAAAAGCAAATGTTGGGGTTGAAAAGTGAAAATGGGTGAAAATGAGAGCTTTTATAGCTACATGAATGAAGCATACTAAAATAGCTTAGTGCGGTCTGTGATTGGATTTCTTTGGCAATTTTCTCACCGACCTTTACCGCAGCTTGTATTTTTTTTTTTTTTTTACTTTTATTTCTTGTGGATAGAATCTTCATGGAGAGAATTATTGGCTGATAATTTTTTGTGGCTAACAACTTTAAGGTTTTGATTTTGATTTCATTTTTGATAATTTTGTTATATTTGAGATTTAGGCTTTGTGGAACAGCTTTCCCATTATTCTTTAAAGCAATTTTTTAGTACAAAATTTTAAGTTCAATAAATTTTTTAATTAAAAAAATGTTGAAGAAAATAGTAAGAAAGCTCTCTCAAACAAAACCTTAAAGTCTATTTACGATAATTTTCTTGTTATTTTGTTTCAGATAGCAGTTACAATTTCATTTAACTATTGCTTTCTTACTGCTTTTAGAATATTTCTGTAGCGAAAAAATTACTTGTTGCAATCAAAGTAGCTAATTTATTTTTCTCACAATAATTTTACAACTAATCTATAAAATGCTGCAGCTGTCCCAAACAGACTCCTACTTTTGATATTTATTTATGCTAAAAAAAAATTACATTTAAAAATAAATCAATATTAAAGAGGAAGAAAATATTTAGTTAGGGGCTCAAATAATTACCCATAGTGGGCTCTTAGGCTTCGTTTGCTATGGCTTTCTTCCTGCTTCCTGAAGCTATTTTTTAGTACAAAAATTAAAACTTTTATACTAGGAAGCTGCTTTAAGAAGTAGTAAGAAAGCCGTTCCAAAACGAAGCCTTAGTGAGAATCCTAGAAAAGCTTGATGAATGCTCAAGAATTCTGGCTTAGTTTTATGTGAATCTTTCCCTTCCTTTTATTCTTTTGTCATGGAATAATTTTGAGAGTAAAATTATTGGATTTAAATATATTTATAGTTCATTAGACCTTATAATTGGCAATTACAATCAATGCCTAAAGAGAACAAGAGACAAAAAAGAGAAATTTTGAAATAGAAGTTGGAGAGGTTATAATAAAAATATACAAAGAAGTTTCTAAGAAGCTTCTAATAGGTTATTATTAAGTAAAATCATTCAATATACTCAAAGATGAGTAGATTAGATGACTTGATAAGAAGCTTCTAAGATGGCTTGAAGATTTGATGAATTGGTTTAATGTTATGGACTTATTAAGCCCAATACAAATTAGTAATGAAACTATTAATTTGACCGAATCGACTACATGTAGTATTATGTGCAAACAATTTTACAGCAATTGAATGAGTGTTTTATATATATCTTAGTTTTGTACAATGATCCATCATGCATGGATAAAATTTGTGAGATATAAGAATTTTTATATGAAAAATTCAAGGGGTAGGGTCTGCTTAGTTATAATAATCCATTATATAATTACAGGTACAAAAATCTCCTTTTCACCATAATTGAATAAAATGAGATTAGATAAACCGTCTAATACCCATTGTAAGCATTACAAAAATTGGGTGTCCTTAGGCCAACAATTGAAGTACATTATTGATAGTCAAAAAACAATAGTTAGATGACATTATTTAGTCGATGGTGAACGTCAGTTGTGATTGTTAGAAAATACAATAGAGTTCATTTATCTAATATTTAAGTGTTTTAATGACACTAGAATCAAATGATCTTTTGTGGAGGTGGAGCCACAATATAAGAAGATAGTACTTCAATGGTATCAAATAAATTAGCCTCAAATCACTATTGATTTTGTGGTGAGCTAATTCCATCATATTGTAATGATATTCTTTTATTATCCAATCTCCATTAAGAGTTGTAAGATTTGAAGTTGAGGCTCTTTCAACCTTTGTATATCATCTTACAATGCAAAGGATAGGTGGTCTTCATAGCCTATATTGGGCTATGATTGATTACCAACCATTGAAGAAATATTTGAAATATATTAGGGATGTTTCTCACAAATAACGTCATACTGAAAATTTTGTAGTGGTAGAGTGTGTTCAATATTGTTGGTTTATATAAAGATCATGTTTGCATAAATAGAGTTTGTGAGATGCTTAAATTTTTTTATATAAAAACCCTATGAAGGATAATAGCTACAGTACGATGCCTAATTATAATAATCCGCATATAATTATACATACAAGAATCTGCTCTTCTCCATAGTTGAAGACACTTTATTTTGAGATCACTGGATTTACCTCTTCATGCCAATCAATTTGATTTTAAGCACATAATATTTGTAAACCGTTTGATCCTTCAGTTAATGTCCCAAAATTTTCAATTTTATTTCAAGTGCTTAATTTGAACTCATTTAGATCTATATTGGATCAATTGTGATGTCAATGACTTTATTTCATCAAGCATTCGGTTCAATTATAAGTTTCTTGAAATGAGAGTTCAGTGATCCTGAATTTTATTCTGAAAGTGTCAAATTCAAACACTTCCTCATAATTCTTGCCGATTAAGTGAATTTTCTACGCCATATCTAATATAAAATGATCATTTTGCGCAATTTTAAACATATTCACTAGCATTATTCCCCCTCATCAACCTCATATAAAGATATTATGTGACAATTATTTTTCTACTTTTTTCAAAATGTTAGGTGGGCAAAGAGAAAAATCCTCATCAATCTCCTTCAATGATGGTTTTTTGTTCCTAAAAGCTCTCAGGTTTATTGGCTCAAAGAGATTGCATCTCATTCCTACAGTGCCATAGTTAGTGGATATTGCATCACTGATAGAGAAACTGAAAAAACTATCATCACAAAATATTCATTTGTTCACAGTATTTCTCTTATAAATATTTTAAAGAAGCTATTTCATAAAACTGAATAGATGTGGCCATTGCTGTAAACATCAAGCTGCAATACTAATAAAATGATGTTAGCACAAATATTAAAGAAAAGAATACAGTGATTCAGTGCATGTTCTTCTATCAATTCGTAGTTATATTTGGCAGAGGTTTCATTCGGGATAATTTTATTATTGATTTTTAAAGTAGCTTTTTAGTACAAAAATTTCTATTTTAATAATCTTTTTGTACTAAAAAGTTGTTTTAGAAAGCAGTAAGAAAGTTGTTGCAAATGAAGCCTCGAGTTCTAAGAATATCTATAGATAGCCAAGGAGTTTTTATTAAAAAAAATCAGATATTTGATTCAAATTTGTGATTTTTTATGTTTAGTTAAGACTCTTATGTATATTTCGAACCTTGGATTTGACAATTAGCTTCAAAACAATAGTTCGAAACTCGATTTTAGGCTTCGTTTGGGACAGTTTTTTTGCTACTTTATAAAATTACTTTTTA